TCTGCAGTTGGTTTCTTCTCTGCCGGGCTTCTAGAAGAAGCTAGGAATGGCTACTCCAACCGTCTCTTAAACCAGGGGTTGCCAAACTCATTAGTCAACAGAGCCAAATATCAACAGTACAACGACTGAAATTTCTTTTGAGAGCCAATTTTTTAAACTTAAACTTCTTCTAACGCCACTTCTTCAAAATAGACTTACCCAGGCCTTGGTATTTTGTGAAAGAACCACATTTGAGGGGCCAAAGAGCCACATGTGGCTCAATGAGCCTCAGTTTGCCGACCATCTGCTCAGTCCCTTTGGTCCTTTTAAGTCTGAGTGACTGTCCTGCCTCCTTCCCCCCCTTGGATTTTCCTCCACTTGTCCATTGGACCTAAAATCCCTCTGTGCTTCAAACCAGGGCTTCGGATCTGTCTGAGGAGTGGATGCCATCATAATGGCAGCTCATGTGCCAAGCACAGTCCTACCTCAGCCTTGGCCTGGGCTCTTCCTTCTGCCTGGCTTCCCCCCTCCCTTCCGTTAAGGTTTGCTTAGATAGCACCTCCTCAGAGAAGCCTTCCTGACCACCCTCCCCATCTGCTGCATGGCAGTTTGGCCAGAAGTTCATGAAGGTGGCAAGACAAGTCCTGCCAACTCGTTAACGCAGTCTCTGCCTGGCACCCAGGCCAGTCTGCCTCTCTTCCCACCTGCCTGGTCACTGGGGACACTGGCTGAGGCCAGCAGTGAGCCCTCTACCTCCTCCCGCCAAGACTGCTGACGGCAGTAATGTTTATTGTGCGCCCAGGACTGTCTGAGATTCCATTCTCAGTGCTCCGGCAACTGCAGTGACCCAGACAGACAGGTCCTCTCGGGGGCCATGACCTGGGGGCGGGGCTGGGAGCTAGAGAAATGATCCCCTTTCCATAGGAGAGATCACTTGCTTTAGGGACAAGCTGGCCAGGGTCCCAAGTCCTAGGAAAGTATCCCCTCCCTGGCCCCATTTTCAGCTCTGGGACTCCCATGATTGACAGATAGGGGTATGATTGACAGGTCAAGCCTCCCTGACTCCTGAATGCAGCTCACGCAGGCCAGTGGGAGAGGGCCAGGCATGCCTGAAATTTGCCCTCACCCCGTGGTCCCGTTCCCACCCGGAAGCCCCCCTCGGTCTTCTCTGTAGGAAGTTGGGTGGGATTGGGGCTGGACAAGGGCTCAGGCTGCGGGACGGAATCCCTGGCCTCCCAACAAGCTGTGTGCCTACGGGGTGGGGTTTTAGGGGAAGGCTCGGTGTGGTGGGGTTTAGAGGGAGGGTGTGAGTAACCAACTGATCACTTTGTCTTTTCCCCTTTATTTCTCCCTTCCCGCCCCCCCCCCCCCCATGATTCTCTGGATATCCACTTTCCCCTATTCCATCCCTCCTCCTCCTCCTGGCCCTCTCCCCCATCCCTCCCCTGTCCTTCACACCCCCCTCCCCATTTCCATCATCCCTCCCCCACTCCTAACCCTCATCCCTTCTCCCTCTCCCCTCCCTCTGCCCATCTCCGCCCCTGCCAGCGGTCCAGCGTGGCCGCATCCCGCACTCGCTGCCCGGCGCCGTGGCCGCCTCCTCCGGCAGCCCCCCGGGCTCCGTGCTGGCGGCCGCGGTGGCCGGCGGGGACCTCTTCCCGGGGCAGCCGGTGTCGGAGCTGATCGCGCAGCTGCTGCGCGCCGAGCCCTACCCGGCAGCCGCGGGGCGCTTCGGCGGCGGCTCCTCGGGCGCCGTGCTGGGGATCGACAACGTGTGCGAGCTGGCGGCGCGGCTGCTCTTCAGCACCGTGGAGTGGGCGCGCCACGCGCCCTTCTTCCCCGACCTGCCCGTGGCCGACCAGGTGGCGCTGCTGCGCCTGAGCTGGAGCGAGCTGTTCGTGCTCAACGCCGCGCAGGCCGCGCTGCCGCTGCACACCGCGCCGCTGCTGGCCGCCGCGGGGCTGCACGCCGCGCCCATGGCCGCCGAGCGCGCCGTGGCCTTCATGGACCAGGTGCGCGCCTTCCAGGAGCAGGTGGACAAGCTGGGCCGCCTGCAGGTGGACTCCGCAGAATATGGCTGCCTCAAGGCCATTGCGCTGTTCACACCTGGTAAGATGAGCCCCGGGGGCGGGGGGACCCTTCACTCCCTGATGCCCTGCCTGCCAGCCTGCGGCCTGTGCCCGCTGTGAGTGCGGAATGGGGCCGTGGAGGAGGTGACAGAGGTGGTGTGGGACCCTGATGCCCCAACCCCAGATCCCAGGGCTCCCTAAGAACTCTGACTGGCCCCCAGACCCCAGGCTGGGTCTGAACTGGCTCCACAGCCTCTCTTCCTGATTTTTGGGCTCCCTGTGACACCCCCCCTCCCACTCTCCATCCCTTCATCAAAGAGGCCCGATACCTGGTTTCTGTGACTCCAGACCTCTGACCCAGAGTCCCCAGTCCGCTCCTAGGGCAGCCCCCAGGGCTGACTGGATTGGGAAGGGCGTGGCTTTGAGGGCCTTCCCATTTGGGAGGGGCAAGGCTGTCCTAGTGCTCTCCCTGCCAGGTGTGACCATCCAGCCGCCAAAGCCCCACCTAAGGGCCTGGTGGCACCGCTGCCTCTGTACCAGGAAGGACCCAGACCCCACTGGGTGTCTCTTGGGGCCAGGGGTGCAGGAACCGGATCCAGGCCATTCGGGAGGTGGCGCTCATGTGAAATATACAGCTCTGCCTTCCTTCTTCCCTAAGACTCCACCCCCCACCTTTAAGGGGCCCCATCTAGACACTGTCACATTTACTCAAGCCCCAGGCCCCTGCGGACCTTGCCTTCCTCCCCACGGCCCCTTCCCAGTCCCCCCTTTCCCTTGAACTTGAATAGAACTTGTCTCCCTGACAAGGCCTCTGTTATGAGGTACCATTGCCTGCACCCTTGTGTTACTGTCCTCAGAAGAGGCTACCTCCGTATTTTTTGAGAGCCACCACTGCCTTAGATACCCCCATTTGTGACCCAGGTCCTGAATGCCCCTCTCCCTCCACATCCACATCCCCACTGGTGCCCCAGTCACCCCCGGGGCCCTGTGCCCGCCATGTCCTGCCCCCCCTGACCTTGCCCTTGTCCTTCCAGATGCCTGTGGCCTTTCAGACCCGGCGCACGTGGAGAGCCTGCAGGAGAAGGCGCAGGTGGCGCTCACCGAGTACGTGCGGGCCCAGTACCCGTCCCAGCCCCAGCGCTTCGGACGCCTGCTGCTGCGGCTCCCCGCCCTGCGAGCCGTCCCCGCCTCCCTCATCTCCCAGCTGTTCTTCATGCGCCTGGTGGGCAAGACGCCCATAGAGACGCTGATTCGAGACATGCTGCTGTCCGGAAGTACCTTCAACTGGCCCTACGGCTCGGGCCAGTGACTGGACAGGACCCGGCTCCGGGGCCGGGTCTTCAGACCTCAAGGGACGTGGCTGCTGAGCCTCCGGGGGCGGACTGCCCAGACAGAGGACTCCAGCCTGTCTCCTCAGACTCCTATTTTTTAAAGACTGTGAAATGTTTGTCTTTTCTGTTTTTTAAATGATCATGAAACCAAAAAGTGACTGATTGTCCAGGCTCTGGCCTTGTCCTCCACAGAACCTCCTGGCCAAGATGGGGGAAGAGCTGAGGTTCTGATCCTGGGACGGTCCGTCCCTCAGTGCCTCCGGCAGGAACTCGTGGATGGTGGGTTGGCTTCCCCACTGTGAGGGGCAGAGGCCTGGTGTCGGCGGGAGGGCCAGCCGGAGCCAGGAAGGAGTTGCGGGTACCAGGCGGCTTCTTCTGGATATGTGATCCACGTTGGACACTACATAGTGAATGAATCAAGGCCAATAATAAAGGCATTTCCTACCTGCAAACAAAGATTGTCATCTCTCCCCCGCCCCCCTGTTGATTTTTAGAAAAGTGGAAGGGAGGGAGGGAAGAGGTGAGGGAGGGAGGGAGAGAGATGCATGTGATCCATTGGTTGCCTCCCACATGTACCCCAACTGGGGCTGGGGATTGAACCTGCAACCCAGGTACATGCCCTTGACTGGGAATTGAGTCCACAGTCCTTTGGTGCATGGGCTGGTGCTCTAACCACCGAACCATACTGGCCAGGGCTCTGTCATCTTTTGAGGGGAAGGCAGCCTACGATGGACACCCACTCCCACCGCCTGGAAAACCCACAGCCTAACAGTAGCCCTACTTGCTCTTTGTGTTGGACCCTGTTGTAGGGAGCCGGTCTGGGGTTGGGAGGGGCTGAGGTCAGCCAGTGAGTCTATAGGAGTTAAGCCGAGCAGATGCTCAGGTAAAACTCAGACTCTGGCTTCAGAGAGTGAGCCTCATGGGTTCATGCCCTGGACCCAACACCTCACTGTTCTTTGGCCAGCCCTTAATCATGGCGTCTTGGACCCTGTATCCCTGGGTAAAACAGTGCCCAGCGGCAATCACTGTTCAGCTTGCAGTGCTCACAAGTGGAAAATTGCAGGGACCCATTTATTTGGTTGGCCTCAGGGCCTCCTGTAGGATCCTGGCTGCGCCTGCCCCCTTCAGGTGGTCCCCAGCATTACATCCCATGCGTTCTGTAGAAGGCTACCCCAGCAAGACATCACATGTGTCAAACACAAGGCCCGCGGGCCAAATCCGTCCTGCCAGGCCTTGCAATGTGGCCCGCACCGCGCTGTCATCACTGCACTCCGCTGCGTTTCCATCACAATGACAGTTTATGACTGTTCAGTAAACCATTCGGCCTCGATTTAGGCTGGATTTTAGATTTTGGCCCCTTCTCTGATTGAGTTCGACACCCCTACGTCTAGTCTAAGGTCCTTTGCCTCCATTACTGGACCTGTGGAAACTCCTGGCCCCTCACTTTTCCCCCAGAACGGACCGCTGGAGGCTCTGAGGAGAGGGAGCCTCCTGAACAGATGAGGGGTCATACCACACTTGGGAGACCCTGAACATGGGCCTTGTCTCAGAACCTTCATTTTCCCCCTCTGCAACATGGGAGAACAATTTTTTTGGTGACAACAGAGTGTTAAGCATAGTATATATTTGAGAAATGTTTATTCCATTGGGATTGGAGACAGGACCTGCGGGTGAGCTGAGATCTAGGGTCCCCATGGGGTCAGGGCTAGGGTCCTGGGAAGAATTCCTGGAACAGGGGGTCATCAGGACAAAGCCTCAGAGCCTGAGGCATTTGCAGCCAGGGAAGGCTACCCTAGGCCAGGACAGAGCAGGAACTAAGCCTGGGAGGTAGAAAGAGGAGTGAGGGCAAGTGGGACCGGCCCTCCTCCCACCAGACAGACAAGATGCTCAGAAGTACACAGAGCCCTCGCTGTCTTCTCGGTTGTCGAATTTCTGGATCTGCGCCTTGAGGTGCCTCAGTTTTCCCTTCAGGTAACGGCAGCGAGCCTGTTTGTCCAGAAAGCCGGGGTCCTGGGTAGGACGAGAAGCAGGGAAGTCCTTATGGTAGTCTGGCCTGTGGCCCTCAAGCTGCTTGACCTTTTTTTTTTTTTTAATATATTTTATTGATTTTTTAAAGAGAGGAAGAGAGAGGGATAGAGAGAAACATCGATGAGAGAGAATCATCGATCAGCTGCCTCTTGCACACCCCCTACTGGGGATGTGCCTGCAACCAAGGTACATGCTCCTGACCAGAATCGAACCCGGGACCTTTCAGTCTGCAGGCTGACGCTCTATCTATTGACCCAAACCGGTTTTGGCCTGCTTGGCCCTTTGCTTTTCCTCTCTGAGCCACGGCTTTCGTTCTGTGGAACTGGGCACTTAAGGGAGTGTTAGGGGAGCAAAGGCCAGGCTGTGGGATTCAGGAGGCCCTGACTCACCGTCCGCTTCTTCTCAAATTCTCTCCAGACTCTGGCGGCTACCTGAGCCTCCTTCTGTGTGGAGAGAGGGAGGAGGGGGACTGAGGGAGTGCTGGACCCAAGGAGAGATGGGGAAACTGAGGCTCAGAGAGACCCAGTGACCCATTTAGGGAGCACTTTAGGGATGTGGTGCCAGCCCAGGCTGGAGAAGGCAGGGTTTGGAGATCTAGACCCAGGGGGTGTGCTGAAAGCCAGGGTCTGGCCGCCCGGAAGGGCTGTGGGGCAAGGGTTTCCACCTGGTTGCTGACCTGGCTGTGGGGTGGGGGCAGTGAGGTCAGCAGGGCTTCCAGCTGCTGGAGCTTAGCCTGTGTGGAGCGCAACTCCTGCTGGAGCTCCAAGAACTCGGAATACTGGTCCTGGAACACCGCGGCGTAGCAGCTCCGTTCCCTCTCACTGCTCACTGGCGGGTACTTACTGCTGGGGGGAGGGGAGTGTGGAGAGCAGGGCAGAGGGTGAGTGTAAAGAATCCCTGCCTTTCCCCCAATCAGTGTAAGTTTTTCTCTGCTCATGCTGGGCTCACTGCTCAAAATGTCCTTTTTCTCTTATTTACTCACTTGTCAAGGCCCCAAACTCTGCCCCTTCACTGTCCCCAGACATCGGCAACCACATGGACACTCACAGCTCATAGTCGGGCACCGGGTGGGGCCTAGGCATATGCTCCCCAGGGATGGATTCAACAGGCTTCTTGGTGCCGGGGCGGGGCCGGGAGGGCAGTTCATCCTCAAATACGATCTTCTTGGGCCGTGCCCTGTGAGCTCCTGGCTGCGGTTGGCACAGAGAACAGCGGACGCTGGTTCCAAATGAACCAGGCTGTGGGGAAGCTGGGATCCTTTAAACTGGGGGTAATGCATCCCCTGCCTAGGCTCGGCCTGGGGACCTTCCTCCAGCTCAGACTTACCGGAGGCCCTGGGCCAGGCGGGCGGAACTGCAGGTCCCCCCGGGAGCCGTGGGCGTGGGGGGGCTCCCGGGTGGGCATGGACCTCGGGAAGGAGCCGCTGGGGCGCCCCGAGGCCGACGGGCGGGTCCTGCGGGGGGCGTGGTGGCCCGCACGGGGCGGGGGTGGTCTGCGGGCGGCCTGTGAACGGAAGGAGGCACCTGAAGGGGGCGCCGCTGCAGGACCCGCTGCAGGACCCGCCGAGAGGAACCTGTGACAGCCAACTCCCAGCCCCGGGGCGAGCCCCAGCGCCGCTGATTTGCATAGACGCACACGATTGGTCCTCAGAGCGCTCCGCCTGCGGAACCCGGAAAGGCGCTATGCAAATGAGCCTGACGCCGGCGCGCGCGGCGGGGCCGGCTGGGGTCAATCCCCGCGCTGCCCCGGGCTCGCCCGCTGCGGCGCCCGGAGTCCGCTGACACCGCCCCCGAGGAGACCCCGGGGACCCCCGCCCGGGCTACCCCCCCGACCGAGCGCCCGCTCCCGCCCGGAGTCACCTGTCCCAGCGTCCGGAGCTCGGGGCTTGGGTCCCCTCTCTGCGCAGCCCGAGGACGAATTATGCCTTAACTGCGGGTTGGACCCAACTGGTGGGGGCGCTCCGCCGGGCGGGGGCGGGGCTTGCGGGCGGGGCGGGGCTTGTGGCGAGGGGGCGGGGCCTGGCGACGCGGGAAGGGATTTCCAGCCCTAGGAAGACCCGCCTGCCATGTGTTCGGGGCCGGCGAGGCACCCTCTCTGAGCCTCAGTTTTCTCTTCTGAAAACAGGTGGCTTTGGCGAACTTGCACCCATCTGTTTACCAAGAAATTATATTTATAAAACATTTAAATAACTAGCGGTATATTTATAAAGTTCAAACAATAGAAAAGATGCATAGGGCAAACGTGAATGTCACATCCGCTCAGAGGCAGCATTTAGTTGTGTTTTTCTGGGGCGATCCTATTTCAATGACAAATATTTCAAATACAAATATTTCCCTCACTACAGACAATACTGCAAAGAATATTCACGTGCACATTCCTTTGGCCAGGTATGCCAGGAAGCGGAATTGCCCCTGGAAGGCAGAGACCTCTGTGTTTTAATTTGGAAAGATCCTGTCAAGTTGTTTTTCGATGAGGTTGTTCTATTAGAACCAGCAATGAAACAGTGGTTTTCCCCAAACCTTTGCCACACTGATGTTAGCACGGTTTTCTGCAAATGTATTTTCAGATTTAAATCTCGCTTAATCTGGTAAGTGAAAAAATTTAGAAATCATTTGTATTTCTTTACTTATTTTCTGCAAATCTTTTTTGTCTTGATTTTTTAGTAGCTCTTCCTATAACAGGGAAGTTAGTTTAACCAGGTAGTGTATCTTCTTTGATGCTGTTATAAATGGAAATGAATTTGTTTTATTATTTTTTTCATTTATCTTATCTTTTCCCCATCACCATTTATCCCTCCCATGCTCTCTTCCACCTCCACCCACTGTAGGAAACTAATTTAAATATTCATGAAATCCCTTGTTAGTTTATTGAATTCTCTCATTAAAATAGCTTTTTAAAATGGTGAGGGAAGGAGCCCTGGCCATTGTAGCTCAGTTGGTTAAGCATTACGCCACGCACCAAAAGGTCAAGGGTTCAATTCCCAGACAAGCCTGTGTTGTGGGCTTGATCTTCAGGAGCAGGCAAGCAGGAGGCAGGTGATCAATGTTTCTCTCACAGTGATGTTTTTCTCTCTTTCCCATCCTCTCTCTAAAAACCAATAAAAACATAGTAAAAAAAATAAATAAATGATGATGGAAGGAGACTTGACTTGGGGTGGTGAACACAATACAATATACAGATGATGTATTATAGAATTGTACCCTTAAAACCTATATAATTTTATTAACCAATGTCACTCCAATTCATTCATTAAAAATTAAATAAGCAAAAATACAAAATAGCTTTTGTCTTTCCTATAGTTCAGTGTTTCCCAAAGTGTGGTACGCGTACCCCCAGGGGTACGGGGAGAGTTTGGTGGGGGTACGTGTTGCACCGGAGTTTGGTGGGGATATGCACTGCACCGTGCTTAGCTGCGCCTAATTCTACGTTCTCATGAGTATGAGGGGTACTCGGCATTACGAAAATTATAGAAGGGGTACACATATGTCAAAAGTTTGGGAAACACTGCTATATCATCTGTAACTATTTTGCCTCTTTCCTAATTTTTCAGTCTCATGTATTTCCTTGTCCAGTTACATTGGACTCCTCCTGACAACGTTAAATCATTGGGGAGGTGGATGGGCCGTGGGCATCCCCACCGCTTCACAGTGATGGCACAACTTTCATTATTTACCCATTAAACTCAACGCTGCCTTTGCCTCGAGGTTTTCCAATGGGATGAGGAAAAAAATAAAAAATCTCCTCCTTACTTTGTATACTATTTTGTATACTGTTCAGCAACAGTACAAAGTACCATTTCACCTTGTTGTTGTTTTTTTTAAATATATTTTATTGATTTTTTACAGAGAGGAAGGGAGAAAGAGAGAGAGTTAGAAATATCAACGACAGAGAAACATCAATCAGCTGCCTTCTGCACCCCCCCCCACTGGGGACGTGCCCACAACCAAGGTACATGCCCTTGGCCGGAATCGAACCTGAGCCCCCTGAGTCTGCAGGCCAATGCTCTATCCACTGAGCCACACTGGTTAGGGCTTACTCTGGTTTTGTCTCCTGATGTATTCTTGTGGCTGTTTACAGACTCCCTAACACCGAACCACTCTTGGGTCTCAGGCATGAGTCTCGTTTAATATGTTTATTAGTATGATCTCTAAATGCATAATAATCTGGCCACTCGTGTGTGTGTGTGTGTGTGTGTGTGTATAATTAATATGATCTCTAAATGCATCATAATCTGACCACTCTGACACTCTGAGTGGCCAGATAATTATGACCACCCCATCAGTACTTTCTTGGGCCACCTTTTGCCTTCATACTGCGGTGATTCTTCTTGGCATTGATTCCAGGAGATGTTGAAAGGTGATGCGAGGAATCTGACACCATGCCTGATGAGCAGCACTGCCCAGTTCTGTGAGATTTGATGGTTATGGAACCAGCTGCCTGATGGCTCTTTTAACTTTGTCCCACAAATGCTCAATTGGATTGAGATCTGGTGATTGTGCGGGCACCTAAGAAAGGTATAGTCTCCCTCATGTCCTTGAACCCACTCCTGCACAATACGAGCACCGTGGCATGGCGCATTGTCTTGTTGGAAGAAGCCATCTCCATTGGGATACGCCATCAACATGACAGGATGAACTTGATCAGCAACGATATTTAGGTATGTTGTACTATTCTGACATTGTTCCACACGAATTAAAGGGCGCAAATCATGGCAGGAAAACATGCCCCAAACCATATCACTGCCCCCACCTGCTTCAAGGGTTGTACTTATGCACGTGGGTGCATGCTTTCATGCTGTTTCCACAAAATTCTCACTCTGCCATCTGCATGATGCAACTGGAAACGTGATTCATCGGACCACATGACATTTTCCCAATGCTCGACTGTCCAATCTTTGTGTTCCAGTGCGAATTGGAATAATGTTTTATCTTGGTAACTGCAGACAGCAAAGGTGTTCGAACAGGCCTTTGGCTTCCATATCCCATAAATAACGATCTGGCCACTCAGTGTGTTTGTGTGTGTGTATTAGAGGCCCAGTGCATGAATTCGTGCATGGGTGGGGTCCGGTCAGCCTGGCCAGGGGGAGGGGACATGGGTGGTTGGCCGGCCTGACTGCTGGTCGAACTCCTGGTCGAGGGGACAATTTGCATATTAGCCTTTTATATATATTTTATTGATTTTTTTCAGAGAGGAAGAGTTAGAAACATCGATGAGAGAGAATCATCTACCAGCTGCCTCTTGCACATCCCCTACTGGTACAGGGAGGTTGAGTCACTACCCCTGTCCCCAACCTAATCTTCTCCCCCTTCTGCTCATGTAGTCTTTGTGACTCTCGGGAGCCTCCAAAGGCCTACCCATCTTGTCCACCTAAAGGGTACCTCTGGAGAGGGGTGGAGGGCAGTCAAAACAGGAAGGGTTGGCCAGTCCGGGCCTTTTTATTTTTAAATATACAATATTTTTATTGATTTTAGAGGGGAAGGGAGAGGGAGAGAGAAATATCAATGATGAGAATCACTGATTAGCTGCCTGCCTCCTGCATGCCCCCTACTGGGAATTGAGCCTGCAACCCGGGCATGGAATCAAACCCGGGCCCTTCAGTCCGCAGGCCGATGCGCTATCCACTGAGCCTAACCAGCGTGGGCCAGGCGGGTGTCTATTTGAGTTTGGGCATGATTCGGATGAAGAGGATCATGCTGATGAAAATGAAGCAGACGATGATAAGCATCGCCCAGAGCAGCCAGTTGACGGATTTCTGTGCGTGCTGCTCCAGCCGTTCGGATTCTGTCTTCAGCTTCTCCAGGTTCTGGTCGGCCATCTTGAGTGAGTGCGACAGGGTCTACGGGGGAGGGTATAAAAAGGACTGGGGTCAGTGTGGACTCTCCCTACCGCCCTGGGGCAAGTCAGCACCTCTTGGCCCTGGCTGGTGCCGTTTCCTCAGCTGGGAATCTTGTCTGCTACCCGATTTGTGTTTATCCAGCCAAGTCCCAGCCACAGTGCCCCTCTCCGGGGAAACCTCCTCCGATGTCCCAGGGCGGTAGGGGGAGTCGGCACAGTGCCCACAGTCCTCACACCTGGTTGTCCTTCTTGATGACACTCTGGGCGGCCAGTGTGTTGGTTTTAAGGCTCCGGGCCAGGCCCAGCATTTCTTCTGCCAGCTTCTCCTGGAGGTTCTGGTGCTGCTGCAGGACGAGGTCTAGCTCGGCTGCCGACTGCTTCTCATCCCTGGGACCTGCCACCCCACTGACCCCACACACGGGTGGACAGGGAAACATGAGATGGGGGTGGGGTGGAGGGGGAGGTGGGGGAAGAGACAAACATGTTCTCAGGGAACCCAGAGGTTATGGCTCCAGTCGCTGCCCCACTTGGGACTGTTTCCCCTTCTTCGCTTTGGCTTCTGGGTAAAGCATTCCCACAAGTGGCGTCTGATGGGTCACTGAGACGCTTGTGGTGGCTCCTCAGTGGCCCAAGATTTTGTCCAGCCCTGCTCCCCCCAGTGCTGCCCAAGGGCTGAGGACACTCACGTTCTCTTCCTCACATCCGGCTTGGGCTCTGGAAGAGAAGAGGAGAGGACTGGTTCTCTGCATTCTGGTTTCCTGACCATCACCTGGGATGGGTCTGCTACACATACACCCTTTCCCAACCTGTCTGCCTCCCAGCAGGCTCCTGATCACCCCTCAAAGCTCTAGCTCAAATGTCCTTTTGTCTGGGATGTTTTCCTCGCCCCCATCTGGGCTTCCCCTCCCCCCACACCCCTCCCCCTGGTTTCCTCTGGGGACCACTTCCCCTGTCCCAGCTGCCCCCTCCAGACATGACTTGGTAATGCCCCCAGGGACACTCCCTGGGCTGTGGAGGAGCCAGATGAGGCACAAGGGATGGGGAGCAGCAAGGTCACATGTTATGTCCCAGGCAGTTGGGACCTGAGTCCGGTTCTGCTCAGAGCACCTCACCTCCAGCAGAGTCCTGTGGGAAAAAGGGACAGGCAGGAGGTCACCTACCTTGTCATGCCC